TGAGCTGGGGCAATGCTGTCCCCCATGTTCTGATGTAGTCAGAAGGCACTCAGCAGGAGCCATGCTATCCTCCATGTTCTGATGGAGGAAGAGGCCCTGAGCAGGGGCAATGCTATCCCCCATGATTTGATCTAGTAAGAGGCCCTCAGCTGGGTCTGGCCCCTCAACACCTGACTGCTCAGCCTCCAGGTCTATGAGAAATGATTTTTTTGACATTATTCACTACCCAACTTTCGAGATTCCATGACAGCAGCAGAAACCCAATGATGGCAGCCAGTTCCAGCTGGTTTTCTCCCTCAGTACCCTCTGAGATGGCTCTGATCTCCCAGATCAAACTTACTTCTGACTGTTACCAGTTCTGAGTACCCACTGTCTCTATTTAGCCTAAAGCCCCCCTTGTACACTGGGTACAACAGCCCATCGCTTCTTGCTGTCGCTCTTCAGAACCCTGCAGAGGGGCCATAATTCCTCTCTGATCCCCCCTCACTCCGAGCCCCTCACTAACCCGTGTAAGGACCAGGAGACTTCGTGCACCCTGTGTGCATGTGTCTCCTCTTCTCCTCATTCTGCATCCGGGAGTCAGAAACAGAACAATGGAGACATCGCCTCATTGTTTCCTTATCTCTCCTCAATACCCCAAATTGTTTTTCACTGTATTTCGTAGGAGTAGAAAAAAAAATGTGCTTATATTAAAGAACTTGCTTGACATTTAGACTCACGTAGAAATGTCTAGAAACGAGGTAGAACCAAAAAGTTGAGAAAGTAAGCTGGTAGGTATGTGATCTTCCACGTGTGAAGTAGGGAGAAGGTGGTGTGCTGGGGAGCCACCAAGATTGCTTGAGGGTTGGCACCCGTGAGACCAGCATCGGGAAGTTCACTAGGTCCTCTGAAAGCAGTCGCTGCTGTCACCATAGTGGAAGGTGGCAGTGTGGCTTCCAGGGCAGGGGTTCTCAGGCTGTGGGCTGCAACCCCTGTGGGACTTGCATATCAGATATCCTGCATAATGCATGCTGCATTATGATCCATAACAATAGCAAAATCACAGTTATGAAGTAGCAACGAGACAATTTTACGGTTGGGCATAAGCACAGCACGAGGAGCTGTAGCCCTGGGTCGCAGCATTAGGAAGGCTGAGGTCCTCTCCTCTAGGGCAGCAGAGGTCATTCACTTACAAGGAAAAGGCTTAGTGGTCGCAAGCAGTTCTCTCCAGAAGTTCTGGGTGAAGAGAGAGTGACGGATTAGTGGGGCAGGCTCTGGTGTTTGGAGGTTCTGGGACAGAGAGGATCTGCCTCCTGCTGCATTGCTGGCCAGTGCCTGCCCACACCTTGGGTTCCCCTGAGTAGGCACGGGTCAGGGACCACAGTTACTGAATCCCCAAGGCCAGGGCAGACACCATTTGCAAAGGCAGCCTCTGAGAACAGGTCAGAGGTGTTCCTACTCTGCTCCGAGACCTGCCATCTAAGATGCCCCCAAAGTGCCCCCCAAAAGGCAAACAAGAGGCTGCTCTGGCTTTTCACAGTGTCTGAGTCTTTGCTGAAAACGAAAAAAAAAAATCCACTCCAATTTCTCAAGCTGCTTAATTTGATTTAATCAGAAATGCGGACCTACGAAAACTTCCCCTGCAGGCTGAGAACCCTGCTGAGAAATCTCAGCCCAGAGTGCAATTAGCCAGAAAGAATTACCAACATTGGGAAATAAAACTCCGTATGATAGAGCCTCCCAATTATGGGGACAGTGTCAGTTATTCACTCCAAATATATATGTATTTATCCCATCATCTTGTCGGGTTAATGATACAAGCGAGGCGATCCACTCCCATTATTGCCCAATAATGGACCACGGAGATGGCGTATCTTCGCCTTTATTTTTGCTGGCACCTCCTAGCGCTGAAGCGCATTAAAGTAATAAAATTAAGCAAGGCGTCCCTGTCCCTCCCACCATGTTCCCGTAACCCCCTCATTTGCAGCAGACTGAGCTAGAAAGAAAGTTTTAGAGCAATTTAAGATGAGGCAATGCTGGGTATGTAAATGCTGTTTTATTGGCCGTTGGGGCAGCTAGCTAAGATGCCTAGCAGCCTTCAGTTTATGGGCTCTTCTGGGTTGGGATAACTCAGTGTCAAGGCCATAGGGAGGGAGAACGGGGAGTTAAAGATGTCTTCTTTGCAGCAGGAGCTCTGTGGCTGAGGACCACTCGCTCGCCTTTAGACTGGGTGTTTCAGCCCCTGCAAATCTGAGACGGAGCCTGCTAAGCTTGAGGGGGTTTAAAAGTTTTTTTTAGTGTGTGTGTGTGTGTGTGTGTGTGTGTACATGCATGTGTAAGTATGCACATGTGTGAACACCCATGAAAACCAAAATTTACTGTTGGTGTCTGTTTCGGTTGCTGTTCACCTTGGTTTTTTCCAAGCAGGAGCTCTCGTTGTCCCTGGAGCTTGCAATGAGCCTCGGGTGTATCTCTCCAAGCCATCGCCTTGGAGCGTTGACCACTATGGCTTTCTTTTATATGGGTTCTGGGGATCAAACTCATATATGCATAGCAAGCATTTAGCAACTGAACTATCTCTATGATCATTAAACCCAAAGTTCTTACGGAGTTGAATGACAAAAGCAGTTATTACGCTTTTAAAAATGTCCTGTTTCTGGACTCCTATTCCCACCAGAGGCAGCAACGGCTAGGGTTGAGGAAATGGCGAGGACCATTCCGAGGGCAAACACGAATGTGAGCTGGGAGCACCAGAAAGACAGCAGGCAGGCCCGCCTGTGTAACCCAGTTCTCCAGGTGTTGCCATGGGAGATGGTGAGGGGCAGTGAGGCTTCACAGATGGGACACATTGTCACGTGAACTTCAGACATACTACAGAACGGGAGGCCCAGGATTCAGCCGGGCTTTGCCCCGTTCACAGTGAACTGTGACCAGTCCCGAGGGGCAAGAGACGAGGAGAACCATCATCCCACTTCATGGAACCTCTAGACGTTATTGTGTTCAGTAGAGCTATTATAAAAATAGGAGGCTTAAAAGTGGGCGAGCAAGTCAGGGCTGGTCAGACTGCACATCCCTACGCTTGCTCTCCTCTCCCTCGTCCTCCTCTGCTGGTCTAACTGTGCCCAAACCTGCAGCAGGTAAGAGAGTGGAGATCAGCCTTCCAGGCACCGGGGCTGGGGAGTCTCTGCTCATCTGTGGGCTTCAGAGAGTGGGAGAGCAGGGTGACAGGGTGGTGGGGTCCCTGCAGGTGTGTCCTCAGGGGGGTGAGGTAGGGCAGTGTTCCAGGGTCACATGATGGGGGATTGTAAAGAATGCTGGAGGGTTATGTCACTACTGTCGCCCTTGTCAGCCACTGGGCCATCAAAAACATGTCACCGACTCTACCGGGGGAGTTTCCAGATCCTTGCCTTTCAGGCAGAAAACCAATGTCAGCTGCAGGAAGGGAGGCCTGGGCTGCGGGGGCAGGCAGATAGAGAACCCAGACATGGAGTGTAGGGTACTCAGATTCAGCAGTCCGAGGCAGCTTGAGTGGCTGGAACTTTCAGAAGCTGAACTGCCATCATTTCTCCTCCTGTAGGGATATCCATTTGTGGGTGTTGGCTCACTAGTTATTTTTTTTTGAGACATGGTTTCTTTGTGTAGTCCTGGCTGTACTGGAACTCTCTTTGTAGACCAGGCTGGCCTCGAACTCAGCTCCACCTGTCTTTGCCTCCCAAGAGCTGGGATTAAAGGTGTGTGCCACCATGCCCAGATTGTTTGCTCCCCATTTTACCATTGATAACCCCCCCCAGGTACTCGCCTCCGGAGTACTCTTTGCTTTTTCTTTTTTTTTTTTTTGAGCCATTTTTTTCTTTCTTTTCTTCACCATATAAGCAACCTACTTTCTGCCCCATGCCTTCTGTATACATGGCATTCCTTTCTTCTCTGTTTTGTTAGGACACTATAGTTGGCAGTAATAGACCTCACACATGGAATGTGGTCATGTTCTTGTCACTAAAGAGTAATTTCATGGTCATGAATTCTAGTGAGGCACATTAGTCTATTTTCTGTTGCTATACCCAAATACCTATGCTTGGAGACAGCATAAAGATTTACCTCACAGTGCCAGAGACTCACAAGCGTGACATTGGCTTCTACCCAGCTTTGGTGAGAGTCTGACAGTGGGCAGCATCGCAGGGCAGGGATACAGAAGTGATTGCATAGTGAGACAGGAAGTCAAGAGTGGGTGCAGTGGTGCGTGCCTATACTCCTTACCCTGGGGAGGCGACGGTTGCAGGACCAAGAGTTTAAGATCATCTTCAGCTGTGGATGAATCTGAGACCAGCGTGAGTGACATGAGGTTCTGTCTCAAAACAAGCAAATAAGAAACAGTCAAACACAAGAAGCTGGTATGGCCTGATATCAATCTTTTTTGTCTTTTTAAATAACATCTTACTCTCATGAGAATCACTCCAAAGACTAGTCTGGATACATTCCCAGAGCAAAGTCCTCCACCATGACTTTGTTACCATCTACTAGGTCCCAGATTTTTTTGTACAAATTTTTAAAATAAGATTTATTTATTTTTATTTTATGTGTATATCTGTCTGCATTATATGGACTATGTGCATGCAGTGCCCATGAGAGCCAGTAGAGGGAGTCTGATCACCTGGAACTGGAGTTACAGATGGTTGTGAGCTGCCATGTGGGTGCTGGGAACTGAACCCAGGTCCTCTACAAAAGTAGCCAGTGCTCTTAACCACTGAGCCATCTCTCTAGCCCCAATCTGCATTTTGTTTCCATTTAGTGTGTGTGTACGTGTTTATATGTATACGTGTGTGTGTGCACATCCCCCTGTATCACACCCGTTTCTAACCTCTTATAGACCCTGAATTAATGGCCTCAGAAGGCTGTGTATAGTAACATGACCATTGATGAAAATCTGTAATAACTTGTGTCCACTGTGACTGCTGACATCTGTCATTGTGAGGCTGGGTCAAATAAAGATCTCTTTTTTTTTCTCCTCTCAGGCTGGTTATGACGGCGAAAGCATTGGAAACTGCCCTTTTTCTCAGCGTCTCTTCATGATCCTCTGGCTAAAGGGTGTGATATTCAATGTGACAACAGTGGACTTGAAAAGGTGAGACGGGCTTCTGTGTCATTGAAATAGTTGGACCTAATTCCCTGTGTGCAGCAACATGCCCTTTCATGCATACAAGCACACACACATGCACACACACTCATGCACTCATGCATATACACACACATGCACAGACGCACTCATGCACACACAGCACACACATGCACACATATGTGTGCACATACACACACTCACACACTCATACACACGCACGCACACACACACTCATGCACACACATGCGCACACACTCACACTCATGCACATGTACATGTATGTTGCTGGGAAGCATTGGCATATAATGGTGGGTTTATCCTTAGTCATAAGCCTGGAATGAAGACTGAATGCTAGCCACATGGTAGGGTTTACAACTTTGGCTGCAGGAAGGGGTTGGGGGCCAGGGAGAGCTTGCTTTCTCTGTTGTCCAGAAGCTGTGTGGCTCCCAGGAGCCTGCCTAAGCACTGTTTCTGACTGACGACACTGGAGAGTTAACTTTCCCACCTCTGCAGCCAGAAGGGCGATTCCAGAGGGGCGAGTCCCCCATCATTTATTAGTTCCTTCTTTGGCTCTGATTACCAGGAAACCACTTTATTAATTCAGGGACCACTCTGAAATTCTCAATTTCTTTTGTTTTTCTTTTTTATTATTTTTGTTGGATTATACATTTTCCCCCACTCCACTCCTTTCCTCTGGGCTGTGTCTCTTGAATGGTGAGGGCATGACTAAGCCTTGGCCATGACTCTGACTGCTCAAGACCATCTGTGTAGACTGCTCTTCCCTCCTACCTAGGAAGCCTGCGGACCTTCAGAACCTGGCTCCCGGGACAAACCCTCCTTTCATGACTTTTGATGGCGAAGTCAAGACGGATGTGAATAAGATTGAGGAGTTCTTAGAGGAGAAGTTAGTTCCGCCGAGGTAGGCCTCCTAGAACTGGTACTCACAGCTCTGTTGGTGCTTTTCTCTGCGGCCATGCACAGTACGCCAGAGGGAGCAGCCGGATTAGCTACCCTGAGTTGAGATGGACTCTGCTTCTGGTCTGGTTTCATTCCAGTTGCTGTGAAGAAAACATCCTGACAAAAAACAGCTTAGGGGAGGAAAAGGCCAAGCTCCATAGCTCCCAGTTGTCGTCCATGTTTGCAGGGTAGGATGTAAGCCAGCCACATCACGTTCACAACCAAGAGCAGAGAGAAATGCAGGCTGGTACCTGATACTTGCTACTATTATCCCTGCCCTACATAGCTCAGGACCTCCTACTAGGGAATGACGCCTTCCACGGTGGACAGGATCTTCTTGTATCAATTAACAGCCAAGTCATACCCACAGGCTGATCTGATCTAGACAGTCCCTCAGCTGAGGCTGTTCTCGCAGGTGATTCTAGATTGTGGCAAGCTGACACTTAGAACCAGCCATCACAGCTTCCCTTTTTGTGTCCCTAGCTTGGCAGTCAGGATGGCATGGTGGCAGTCAGGGAGGAGGTGTTATTGCTGTGTGGGATAACTGTTTCTTGTGTCTGCTACTGAAAGTGTGGACCCTTCAGAAACCCTCCAGTCAAACACCTTTCCTAGAACAGGGAGGGAATTAGGTCAGGAACATCTGGTTGACCCCTGTGTCCTAGAATTGACCTTGCCAGGGCTTGATACAACATAGTTCTCCCAAATCATGTTTTTTAGTCAACCTTGAGATTCATTGTTTTCTAAACCAGTCCAGGGGAGCTTGTCATTTTAATATCTACCCAGAGAAAGACATTTTCCTCTACTGCATTCTAACCAGCCTTTGTCTGTGACCCTCCAACTCTTCAAGGTACCCTAAGCTGGGAACCCAACATCCTGAATCCAACTCAGCAGGAAATGATGTTTTTGCCAAATTCTCAGCCTTTATCAAAAACACCAAGAAGGATGCAAACGAGAGTAAGTGTTCCGGTTCTGGGTTCTGTTCCCGCACGGTCCTCCACAGGGCTGCTGGAGAGACCCTGGGTATCTGGCTCATTTCACAGAGAGTGCAGACGGAAGTCTGGAAATAAGGAAATGCCCCCACCTTGACCTCTGCATATGACTTTGGAGAGACTGCTTCTAATGGTTGGGAATCCAAAGTATAACACTATTGGGGGAAGCATTTCAGCGTCCACCTGTTCCCACCTGCAGTGTGGCAACTGTGCCTTTGCCACTCACTACCCCATCATAGGCACCGCATAGATATTTAGAGGAGTGGCCGAGTTTGGTCTGGAGGGATGGCTCAGCAGTTAAGAGCACACACTGCTCTTGTGGAAGACTGGCGCTTAGTTCCTAGCCCCTATACTGGGTGGCTCACAATGACCTGTAACCCCAGATCCAGGGCACCTGAAACCCTCTTCTAGCCTCTGAGAGCACCCGTACATATGGTACAAACAGAGATACAAATAAATACAAAATGAAATTAAAATATCCTTTAAAAAAAACAGACGAGTCCTAGAAGCAGCGCAGGTGTGGAGATGGGACAGGGAGACCGAGTTCTGTTGCATCTATGTCCTTCTGGTCTTCTTGCTGCTGGCTGGCTCTGTCTCAGAAAGTGCATCCAGCTCTCTCCTAAGGCAAACAAAACACATGCAGCCGCTTGCATGGCCCATCCGTCTCAGGCATCTCCTGCCTTTGCGTTTCAGTTTATGAAAAGAACCTGCTACGGGCCCTAAAGAGGCTGGACAGCTACTTAAACAGCCCGCTGCCGGATGAAATTGATGCCGACAGCACAGAGGACGTCACTGTTTCCCGAAGGAAGTTTCTGGATGGGGACGAGCTCACGCTGGCCGACTGTAACCTCCTACCCAAGCTCCACATCATTAAGGTTTGTCTCTCCTCCTGACACCTGTGCTGAGTGCATGAAGGGGGCTTTGTGGGTCTTTGTTCTGACTTGCTGGGGCCAGACACCAAGACAGGCCTGGAACACAGACGTGAACTGAAAACTAGCCGTTTCGGCTCAAGGCGGCTGAGCTGCAGTGTTTAGACACATGGAGCCATGAACTCCGGGTGTTCTCATGGCAGACCTGTGAAGGTGCTCCCTGACCCATGGCCTCCCTAATGTTGTAGGCATAAGGAAGAGGTACAGAAATAGCTGAAGGACACTCTGGGCCTCCTTGCCTTTTACCGTATGAAGTTTGGGAATGATGCGTTGTTGACAATTGCAGGGATAAACCTTGTTCTGGGGTGTCCGGCCAGTTATTAATATCAGCCTTCCACCCCTAAGAGCAGCCGATAGCTGCTTGACTTGGCCTCTTCTGTAGCTGTACCCTGTCTTCTTAGTCAGGTAGAAAAGTCGATGGTCTTATACAACTAGAATTGTTTGAGGCTTTTTCTTAAGTTTTAAAATTTTAATTCTTTTCATTTCAATTCTGATTGGTCACCTGACCTAGTAAATCAGAACTTGTAGTGGCAACTGTGGGGATTCCCAGACTGTGAGTGGCTTCTCTCTCATCCCCTCTCTGTCATGTACAGGTATCAGTGGCTACCACCATGGTCCTCACTGCTAGGTGTGGGAGCCTCAGATGTGCAACGAAGACACCTGTGCCTTGCACTGGGAGATCTTGATTATTATGAAATTCTCGCTTGGTCTAGAGCCGGAGCAGGAGGGCAGGGGTGAGCACAGGGGACACAGGGAATACAAGTCAACCATGTTCCAAGTTCATGTGTGATTGGCTGCAGAAATCGCCTGTCTGGTTCCAAGGGTCCACGGTGGCTGCCTGTCAGTCGTGGCCATACCATGTCCTAACCTCGCCTTTCTCTTCCTGAGCACCGTCTCCCTGCACTCTCTCCCAGCCTTAGCTTTTCCTCCTCTCTTCCATGTTGGGCTTCAGGGAGGTCTACTTGAGATGGACATTAGCAATCCTTTCGGTGAATGTCGTCGTTAATAGCCTCGTTAAGGTGCCAACATCCAAATTCTAACAAAAGCTTCTCAGCCCTCCAAACCTAAACCTGGACGTCATTTTCCAATGAGATAAGTCACTGTGTTTTGATTTTTTTTTATGTCATTCATTTGTTGTGAATGATATAGCATCACAGGTAAGTGCAGGGTAAAGAAGGAATTATTGTTGCTCTGACAAAATGCTTGAGAAAACTGATGTAAGAGCAGAGAGGTTTCTTTAGGCCTGTGATCTCAGAGGGACTATCGTGATCAGCTGGCTCTCTTGATGTCAGGCCTGTGGTCAACAATACGGTGCAGGAAAGCAGCTCACTCTGTGGAGGCCAGAGAGGGCAAGAAGGAGGTCCAGAGGGTGCAAGAGGGAGGTCCAGAGGGCACAAGAGGGAGGACCAGAGGGTGCAAGAGGGAGGACCAGAGATTGCAAGAGGGAGGACCAGAGGGTGCAAGAGGGAGAATCAGAGGGTGAGAGAGGGAGAACCTGGAGAGCACAAGAGGGAGGACTAAAGAGTACAAGGGGGGGGACCTGGAGAGTGCAAGAGGGAGGACCAGAGGGCACAAGAGGGAGAACTAGAGGGCACAAGAGGGAGGACTAGAGGGCATAAGAGGGAGGACCAGAGGGCACAAGAGGGAGGAGTAGAAGGCACAAG